CTATTCATATATATCAGCGTGGTTTATAAGTAGTCTATCTATCTGTCTCTCCCTCTATTTATTCATCAATCTAACTACCTATATATCTTTGCATCTGTCTATCTTTCTATCTATTCAATCAGTCTAGCTCTCCATTTGTTTATGTAGCTCTCCCTCTATCTGTCTATTTGATATATCTATCTACCCATCTATATATCTATCTACCGGTCTATTCCCCTCTCTGTTTAACTATCTATCTACCCATCTGTTTATTTATCTATCTACCCATCTATACGTCTCTCTATATATCTCTTTATTTACCCGTATATCTTCTTACACATCCCTTTATATGTTTATCTATCTATCTACACATCTATCTAGATATATACCTATTTATCTCCCTCCTTCTTCAACATATATACTCCAGTTCCTCCTATTCTTTATTTTGTTTTCCTCTTTGTCATCTACCAAAATTATCTCCTCTCTTTGCCCACCCTATTTCTCCCTTTCCCTTATCCCCCAAATCATCTATAGTCTTATCGCCGTTCATTTATCTCCTCTCCGTTATCTATTCTCCATTCTCTGGTTTCTCATTTTCTGCCCATCTTTCACCACCTTATTACCTACCTGCCTTGACACTTTTATTCGTTTTTACCCTTCTCCTCATCACTCCTGCCTCGCCTTTCCTCCCCTACTCTTTTGTCTCTTCTTCATTCTGTTCTCTTTCATCTTCCTATTCTCCGTTCTCTCATCCTCGTCCTTGCCCTGTCTTCTTTACTCTCTTTATTTCTCCCTTCCAAATAAATTTTCCGATCTGGCCTTTTTCATATCTCTTAATCTCCCTTAACTCCCTTCCCTTCCTTAGTCTTTTTATCCCCTTCTCCCATCTCCATATTCGCCCTTCTCCCCTCTCGTTCTTCTCCTCCCTTTCTTTCCCTGTTCTCTTTATTCCGCTCTCCTCTCATTTTTTTCTCGCCCTTTCTCCCATCTAATTCTTACCTTACCTCTTCCTCTCATCCCTCTCCTCTTTCTGTCTTTTTATTCTCCACTTCATCCCATCCCTCCCCTCTCTATCCCCCTTCCTTATCTCCTCTCCCTTTCATCCCTCTCCTAACTCTCCCTCTTTATTCTCCCCTTCCTCCCATCCTCCCTTCTCTCTCCCCCTTTAGTCTCCCTTCCTCCCCTCTCTCTCCCTCTCTGTCCTCCCGTTCCTCACCTCCTCGCCCTCCCCTCACGCGCCCTCTGCCGCGGGCCTCCTTCAGAACTGCGAGTTGACGAGGGCGCCGTTCTCCTTGGCGACCTGGCTGGCGGAGGATCGCGTGGTCGTCATGGTGATGGCGGTCGTGGGCTCGTCCCTGATGTCGTGGGTCGTGAAGGCGTCGTTGGACTCGAGTTCGTGGCCGCCCTTGCCCCCCCCGCCGCGAGGGTTGGAGGAGCCGCCCCTCCGCCGCGGGAACACCGAGTTCTCGACGGTGAGGGCGCTGTTGACGTCCTTGCGGGCGGCGCAGATGCACGCCTTCATGAAGCTCTTCTTGAAGTTGTCGCTGAGGAAGGCGTACAGGATGGGGTTGATGGCGGAGTTGATGTAGGAGAGGCACGAGGAGATGAGGAACAGGACGATCATGAAGGAGCTCTGGCCCTCGCGCGGCGGGCTGAAGATGAGCGCCAGCTGCAGCACCCAGTAGGGCAGCCAGCACATCACGTAGACAGTGATGACGGTGAGCACCATCTTGGTGACCTTGCGGTGGCTCTTCTTCTTCTCCTTGGACTTCGCCTTCGGCCCCACCGTCTTGAGCTTGTGCAGCACCAGGCTGTAGAAGATGAAGATGAGCACGAGCGGGATGCCGAAGGCCAGGATGAACGAGTACAGCGTGAACACGAACTGGCCGCTCACGCCGAAGCCGTCGGGCCAGAAGATGTTGCAGTTGATCAGGTCGTTGACCTTGAGCGTGTTCGAGTACATGAACACCGGCACGATCATGAGCGCCGAGATGGTCCACGCCGTCAGCGACACCAGCTTGGAGATCATGGGCGTGCGGAACTTATTGGAGCTGATGGGGTGGCAGACGGCGATGTAGCGATCGGCGCTCATGATGGTGAGGAAGAGCGAGCTGGTGAACTGGTTGAGCGACGTCGTGATCATGTACAGCTTGCACATGATGGAGCCGAAGGCCCAGTAGCCCATGGCGGACGTCATCATGAGGAACGGGATGCCCACCACGAACAGCTCGTCGGCGATGGCCAGGTTCACGATGTACAGGTTGGTCACCGTCTGCATCTTGGAGAAGCGCGTCACCACGTAGATGACGAGCGTGTTGCCGCAGAGCCCCACCAGGAAGGCGACGGCGTAGCAGGCCTGCATGATGATGTTGGTCACCATGTGGATGGAGGAGCTGTCGCCCGTGAACAGGCCCAGGCTGCAGTTGCGCTCCATCTCGCGGTCGACGGCGTTCAGGTACGTGCAGTTGAGCGGGAACGAGCCGTTCACGTCGAACAGGTCGAGGTCGATCGAGTCGTTCATCTTGGCGGTCGACGAGTAGGGTCCGAAACACGGAGCGCGGGGGAAGCTACGACACCTCGACTAATAACGTTCAATATATTTCATTCACATATACAGCCTTGCATTTCGACCGTGATCACACACACGAATTTCCATACTGGCCAAAGAACATTTTCACACGATGGAGAATTCCTTTCGCCGTTTTCGACTGGGTTTATCACTATTCCTTATATCCACCTGTTCTTTGGTGTCCCCATCACTGAATTTGATTTCTCTTCAGATTAACAAGCCTCTACTTGCGTTTGTCTCGAAGGCGATCTTGAGCGATGCTACAGAACCTTCTGTCTCTGTAGTGATCCGGATCCTCTGCAAAGAGATGTGGAAAATTAGATTCGATTTAGAATCATTCAGAAATCTGTATTCTCTCTCTCTCTCCCTTTCTCTCTTTATTCATTCTAAAGCATTTGTGTATGCATGTGGGTATGTGCTAATGTGTTTAACTGTACCTGAATGCACATAACTAGCGGGACCCGTGAAAATTCCCCGGAAGAAAGAGGTAGTCCTCTCTCCTTTCACTCTATTCTTTCTACTTTTTACTTTCCCTTTCCCTTTTCCCTCTACCTTTCCCTCTTCCACTCTCCATTCTTCTCTTGTCCCCTTCCGTCCTTTCATGACCCTTTTTTTTTCTCTGAGCCCCCTTCCCCTTCCCCTTTCCTTTCCCCTCATCCATCTTCCTTTTCTTTCAAGCCCTTCCCCTCCCTTTCTCCCTCGCCCCCTTTCTTTTTCTCCTTCCTCTTCCCTTCCCCTCCTACATTCCTTCTTAATCTCCCCCCTTCGAATAATCGTGTAAATGATAAATGTCCATAAACTGACTGACTAACTACTACAGTGCAGTGTACTTGCCTCGAAAAAGAAGACTGTTGATGATAATAATGATGATAATAGTAATGATAACAACAATAATAACAACAATAGCAATAATAACAATGCTGATAGTAATGGTGATAATAATTATAATGATAATGATAAGCATGATCCTTATATGTTCGTAATATGATGTGTGTGTCTGATTCTTTGGTATTTACAGCATGTGAAGTATCAGCCCCTCCTACGTCAAAATGAATTGGCTGCAGTCTCATCGAATTTGATCCCGGGCATCTTACATAAAAATGAAGAGACTTCGGGCGTAGAAATGAAACGTTATGTACGAATGAATGGAGGAAACACGGGCAGAATAATAATATAATTGGTTGATATCTATTTTTTTTCTTCTTCTTTTATGCATAAACAAACAGAAAAGAGGAAGAAAGAATAAAAAAAGGGGGAAGAAGAAGGACAAAAAAGGATTCAGCAATTCAAAGAAATAATCAAGTCCACCCGTCGCGCTCTGTAATACACAGCGTAACACGACAGCAGACAGCGCGACTGCCAACCCGAATAGGAGTCGAGTAGGATATTAAAAAATCCTGATTCGGAAGGAGAGATTTCGCTGTACATCCTAATACTGTGACGTCATGATATCTGAGGACTCGGAGGATAAAGAGAAGGTGACTGACAGGTGCAATACCGCGGTTGCCAGGTAGGCAGTTTCTGATGTATTTATCTCTCTCTCTCTCTCTCTCTCTTTCTGTTATCTTATCTCTTTCTCTGTCATTCTTTTTGCATCATTTCCACTCTTTCTCCTATCCATCCACCTTCCCTGCTGCCATTCTTCTCTCTTTTTCGGCTCCTCTCCTACCTCCTCTATTCCTTTTAACTCTTCCCTTCTTCACTTCTTTTCTTTTCCTTCTTTCGACCCTTTCTCTTCTACATATTCTTCTTCCTCATCCTATCTCTTCCTGTCCTCTTTTCCTCCCACTGCTATTATATCCCTCTTTTTCCCTCTTTATCACCCTCGCTTTCCTTCCTCTTCCATCCTTTTCGTTCTTATACCCCTTATCCTCTTCTTCTATTCTTTTTTTCTCCCTCTCTTTAACCGAATCTCGCCCTCATTTTCTATTCCTCCTCCCCCTCCTTTTCTTTCCCACCTCTTCTGTTGTTCTCTATGCCACATCCTTCTTTCCTACCCCCTCTTCTCCCTCCTCTAACCCACCTCCTCCTTTTCCTCTTCTTTTTTCCCACTTCCTTGTCCTCCTCCTCGTCTTTCCCACCTCCTAGTCTTCTACCCCCCATCCTCCTTGCCTTCCTCTTCTTCCTCCTCCTTTTCTCTCTCACCTCCTCGTCTCTTCCTCCTCTACCTTACACCCTCCTTGTCCTCCTCCTCCTTTCTTCCTCCCCTTCTTTCCTATCGCGTCCTCCTCCTCTACCCTACGTTCTTCTTGTCCTTTTCCTCCTCCTCCTCCTCTCCCCTACATCTTTCTTTGTCCTCCCTTCTCCTCCTCTTCCCTCTTCTCTTCCATCCCCCCTCGCTCCCTTTCTTACCCTCGTGAATAAATTGACACCAGTGCGTGTAGCTCGATAAGCCTCCATAGCATAACCTGCTTAATATGCTACAGGCCTGTCAGGCTGTCAATACAAGCTG